ATACATAGTCTTAAAGAAAAACAAAGTATTTTAATTCAAAACTATTCTCTTTCTTCTCCTTCTCATGATAGTATGGTTGAACCTACCAAGTGTGAACAATGCAGTGTTTGAAAAAAAGAAAATTGACTATTTGCATAAAACATTTGACATGTTACTAAAGGAATAGATAATTTGAATCTTCCTCTAAGTAATTAAAAAGAATCTTATAATAAAGCTGGTAAAGGTTATCAACCTAAAAATAATAATAATTTTAGCAACATATGCCTTGATAATAAGACATTTAAATGCAATACTCTTAAATATAATAATTGCAATAATAAAGACAATGTTGTTCTATTTTTTCTTTGTTAAGAAAATCATGATAATAAAAATGTCTATTCATATTCTAACTTTTACATAGAATATGAAAGAAAGATGAAAAATATATTTTTTTTCATCTTACTTCTACAATTATGATCTTAGTGGGAAATCTAAAGAGAATATGCATTAAATTCACATCAAAGGGCGCAAGATGATTTGGGTACTTAAATCTAAGACTTAAGTACTTAATGTAGGTTTGTAAAATCTAAAACAAATCAAATTATATTTATTAATTCAAGAAGTGGGAATATATACACCATTAATTTTAATAAAATATCTTCAAATGATGTAATTTTTTTGAGTAATTAGGATGAATCGTGGCTACGACATGAGAGAATAACTCATATCCACATCGATCATTCGAATAAATTAGTCAACAAGGATTTTGTAATTGGTTTGCCAAACTTATGTTTTGTAAATAATGGATTATATGATGTGTGTCAAAAATGTAAACAAGTAAAGATCTCCCTTAAATCTAAAAACAATTTTTTCTACAAATAAACATTTATAATTGTTGCATGTGGATTTTTTTACTCATCCAGAACCATAAATTTTTTTGCAAGAATTATTATTCCTTTGTAATTGTTGATGACTACTCTCTTTATATACGATCATTTTTCTTATCTCATAAAAGAGGCGCATTTGTTGTCTTTCAAAAAAATAATCAAAATTATCAAAATGAATAAAAGACTTAAGCATTTCATATATATGAAATGATCACATAGTTGAACTTTAAAATGTTAAATGATTTGTAAAACAATTTATAATTTAATACTTTTTATAAAGTGAGTGAGAGATGGAGAAAAGTAATAATAAGTGTCTTTAAGATATTGTTTAATAAATTAAAAGAGAGAATTTTTGTATAGAAAATAATATATTTCTTTTGTTTTTACATATTCCTTGCATTTATTTTGAATTGTATTAATAGAAAACTAGAGTATTAAATAATTTAAAGATTAATATAGAGAATTTATTAATGCACCCTATATATTACTTAGACAACACGTGAAAAGACTTAAATGCCTTCAAATTTTAGAGATGCATCTCCGGACACATCCAATTTTGAGTTAGCATCAAAACACCTCTAATATGCATCTTCAAATTTATTCCGAAGATGTATTTTCAGAATCATTTAAAACTTATATCGCGCCAGAACCCTTCTTCCTCACTTCATCAAAAACTCAAAACTCTCTTCAAACTCTCAAACAAAAATTCATCACCAACTACAAAATTAAACAATCAAGCTCAAAAGGTCATGAATCAACATCAGAAACATCATCCAACACCGTAGCAAAGTGAAAATTTATAAGTTTTTGATGTTTTGATAAATTTTGATTTTTTTTGTGTAAACGGGTAAAAAATGATGATTTAGGTATCAAGTGAGCAGGAAATATTATAATATTAGTTTATGCATGTAATAGAACTAGATTATTGGTTAAAAATCACAATCAAACCATTTATTTTGAGGTTATCAATTATGCATTGGCTCCATTGAAGAACTGAACAGTTGCAGAAAATTCCAGGGATATATCTCCGGAATTTCTCAACGTTTGGATTTAAATTACCCGGAAATTCATCTCCATAAATTATCAGTGTGTTTCTTTTTTTAAATTTCTTGTTTGTAGTGTTGCTTGCTTGCACTAATTGTCTGATTTACTTTAACTTAGAGGCATTATGATTGATAGAAACAATAGGCTGGGGCGCGGGAGGATTGCACAACATGCATTAGTGTGGTGGGAGAAGAGTCGGGTTTCAAAGGCTCTTGTTCACACTGGCCATGTAGAGACATCTACTTTTTGGCTCATGCTTTTCCATTTTCTTTTTCCTGTAAGAGACGGGTTTCACCTACCAACGCATCACTCCCTTCATCCTCCCGCATGCGCCAAGTTTCACCTATTCAGACAACAAAGGTATCCGAGTCACCGGTGTCACCTCCTACAACTGATGCTACCGAGCCAGTGGCACCTCCTACTTCTAAAGTTATTACTGAGCCAGTGCCACCTCCGGATGGTGAGGCTGCTAAGGATGTTGAGCAATAGGCATTTAGAGGAGGCCATGTAGATTTGTCACTACTACCTCTATACCCAGACCATACTGCCAGATATTTCTAGGACAGAGAGCATACGTTTATTAATAGATTACAAATTGGATTCATTTCTTGGATTCATTTATTTTAATTTACGTTTATTAATAGATTACAAATTTTTTACATGGATATTTATTTACAGGATCGTGATATGAGAGCATACATGCTATATTTGGTTGGCACTACTATTTTTATGGACAAGAGTGTCGCTTATACAGATGTCGCCTACCTACGATAGTTTGGCCATATCTATGAGTACGGCTAAGGGACCGCTTGTTTGGTCTACTTGTACTCGAAGCTATCAGAGGGATATAGGTAGAAGACGAAACAGGTTCCTGACACCATCACACTACTAATAGTAATATTTATTGGTTTTTTAATCTTTCTCTGTCATTTTTATTTCATCATTGCAACGCTATTACTGATGATTTGTGTGTTCCAAAATTTTCAGGTTTGGATCCTCCAACTCTTCCCGCGCATCTCCGTCTGAGCGAGTGTACCGACTTACACTAAGAATATGTCGTATGCTACTGAATTTTTCTCGCTCAGAGGGAACCAAGCAATAGATTCGTTCAGAGTGTATCTGGACCGATTGGTTGTCAAGGACATGTACTTCAACAGTTATGTGGATCACCGTGAGACGCGGTCATTTGACGAGATAGTGTTATACTAGGAATGGTTGGCTTGCGGATCACGTCTCACTGCTCTTCATCTGCTCAAGTGCACGATGCAGCAGTTCGGCTACACTCAAACCATTCTCAAACACCTTGTTGTCTCTGCTCCTTCTGCTTTGACATGTTGATAGATGGATGATATGTGTGATGATTATGAGAGTTTTCTGGTATCGAAGGAGGCACGGAGTATCATCGGTGAGAGCGACTGAAGCTACATCAATGTGTACATCATGTGGTTCTTCAGGGTGTCACATTCATATATCGTGCATGCTACTCCAGGAGATCCACTGAGGCTAACTCATCAGGAAATACTAGAGGAACAACAGGTATAGTTAAATCATGTTAAAGATGTCTTTCATAAATGTCGTCGCATTGTGGAAATTGTGCAATCATGCATTGACATGGGTATCTTTTTTAATGGGTCTAATATGAGGCAGATCCTAAGTGTCATCATAACGGAGGCACGAGGGACACTGATGTACCAGAGACAGCACTAGAGAGCAGGGGGTTGATGGCCGAGGAGCCAGGGGAGGAAAATAAGCTAAAGGAGACAAAGGAGATAGAGTCCGACATACACAATAGTGCAGTAGTATATAGTAGTTGTACTTTGTATTCATTATTGATTTATTTTATTTTCACCTCATGCTCCTTTATCATTGTTTTCGACATTATTTATGTATATCATTATTGGACTATCTAGATTTATATACGACATGTTTTGCATATCAATTGTATGGTTTAAATTTCGTCACACAAAATTATACATAACACTTATAAATCTTCATATGAATACACATAAACAAAATATAACATATTACTATGTTCTAATATGTTACGAAGGTGTGTCTCCGTAAAATAAACGGAGATGCAACTCTGATATAATACACTTGCAAAATGATTTCTGACTATAATGCATAGTATATGTTTAAATTGTTTCGGAGATACATCTCCAATTCTTTTAACGTTTAAAGATGAATCCGAAAATACATCTCTAAAATCTTAAAACATTGCATAAGAAATATATAGGATATATACGATCATATTAAAGATACAAGAGAGATATCTATTTGTAATACTTTGAGATTATTATAGTATTAGAAAGCCTTCACACTTCTAAAAGAAATAGATGTGATATAATCTTTGGACTTTTGGTGCCACTTTTAATCCTTTCTATTAGGAAGCCTTCACACTTCTCTAAACAATTTGTTCTTAAATGGAAACCTTCAAGCTCAAATAAAATTTGAAGTCTTAATATCACTTTGAGTTTTGATGTTTGTGGATGTATTTGCCATTTTGATAAAGTTATAGCATCAACATGTATTTGCAAAACGTGTAATGTTAGTCAAAGTGCGGACATACTTGATTTAGAAGACAATAATTATCTTAAACCGTCATTTGACAGAAGTAATTGGAAGAATGCACTAACAGATTCTCTATTAGAGTATGTCTGTGAGTTGGTTTAGATTTCCTGCCTATTATAGGAAGATGGTCAGATTATTGGGACTTTTCAGCTTGCATTCGGCTTAAAATTTCAAACAATACAAGCTCAACTTTCTTTTGACAATTCAATATTACAATTTGATTACAATTTCAAACAAAAGTCAGTTTCAAATAAATATTAACCAAACTGCAACTATACACATCATCTAACGACTGAGCAAAATAAACAAATAAAGACTTCCCTCCTTGAGACATGACTTGTATGTGAACAAAAGATTATATGGATCTGATGCTATCAGCCAAGACCTCAATTTTGAAGTTGGCGACAAATTTATACGTGCCCAGTTAGTTTGAAACCGCCATGGAAACAAAACTGCCTTACAATAACTACACCTCTATCTTCAATAGTTTTTGCTCCTCTTTCTCTGACTATCTTGCTCTCAATCAAACTTCACAGTTTTATCACCTTGTTGCTGCTTCAATGGTTCAGCGGGGAAGTATTTTATGCCAACTAGATCGCCCACATTGCTAATAACCTACGAAAGGAGCACAATCACAGCATGTTACAACATAAAACATATGTTGAAGTGAACTTATATAAATCTTGCAAGAATAATATTGGTACAAACAAAAAAGTGGAGACATGAAAATCACTTTGCAATTGAAAATACATTGCAACAAAGTTGCACAAAATCTATAAATCTACCTCCAAGCTCCAACAACTAAATCATGATTGAATGAAATTCAAAATACACACCTTCAAGGCATGTGTAAGATCTTCCCTTGTATGAGAAGCTGATATGCATATGCGTGCTCTAGCCAATAGCAATGGGGTTGCTGGAAATGCAACAGTCACAACAGCAATCTGAAAAAGTATAGAAACATAAAAAAGTTAACATTAACTTAGATCCATGATGTATGGCATCAACAAGAACAACAATGGTATAAGGAAGAATGTTGATGCTCTCACATTCTGCCTGAGGCACTCCCTTGAGAAAGCAGGGATTTTGGCTGGGTTGTAAAGCATGATTGGCATCACAGGAGAATCATTATCCCCGAGAACCTCAAATCCCATCTTCTGCAGTTCTGACCTGAAAAAATTGCTATTCTCTCGAATTTGTGCAAGTTTCTGGGCACCTACACGAACAGTTTTATTCAACGCAGAGTATGTCAGTTTTATTCAATGCAAGTAAAAAGGCCAAACAACATGCAATTCAAAGAGGAGATCAAGTGTCAGCCAAACCTCGACATGAACCATCCTCTCCAAGAATAACTTTTATGGATGATATTATTTGTTGAGCTGCTGGGGGTGAAATTGAAGTTGCATAAAGATGTGCGGGGCAAGTGTACTTCAAGTATTTGATGAGCTCCTGACGGTAAATCCAAAAGTTCAACATAAGAAACAGAGTTTGATTAACCTAATAGCAAAGATATGATAGATATTTTATGGCGAATGCAATCTGGTAGACATATATGACACATCCAATAGAGTCAACTTCTAAATGTGAAACTAAAAGCAATGTGCGTAGATCCAAGAGCACACTAATTCGGATTCGATTCCCAACTCCAGCAAATACTAACAAATTAACAATTAACATACTAACATTGGTTGTTTCAATTAACATATATAAATTTGTAACATTAAAAATGCAATAACCCTTTTTTCAAACAATAAATATAAATCATAATTGTTTCGAATTTTTATTTTCTAGAAAGATTGTATGATTATCTCTTTGATATCATAAAATCCTCTCCCTCTTAAACAATCACTCAACCATTCATCTCTTACAACTTTGCATATGATTCTTGATGATATTAATTAATAGAAGAGAAAGCTCTTTTTACAATTAAAGTTGCCATTGTTAGTATCTTAGTTAACTCTAACAGCATTCACATTGTCAAAGCATGCATTATAAGCTGATGTGATAGAACCAAGTGGTATATTATTACTGACAATGGAGGAAGAATTCCAATTGATTACGAATAATGACAGCACTTCAAATGTCTGCCTATTTCCCATCCCAATGCCAAAAGGTCCTATTCCTCTCCAATGACAAGATGATGCCCTCTTTGATCACACATTTCTACTTATAGGAAACAAGTCTTATTTGGCTTAACTATCTCTCAACACAGCCACTAACTCATTAACTAATTAACTAACTGCCAGAAATTCAAAAAGTTCAACAGAAGAAAACTCCTAAGAATTTGAGCAAAAACAATCAACTTCTGCTTACCAAATTCAGAAAATGAAACTCTTGAATTAAGTATTCTACAAAGAATTCAACTCTTGAATTTGTTAATCAATCACTTGATATAATGAATAAATTTACAAATGATGTATAAAGTTTGTGGAGGCAAATACTCCCACCCCTCTATGCATAAATCGCTCATCGGTCTTCAATTAAGAAGATTTATTAAGACAGGAAAGCCCAAGAACAATCAGAAGATATAAGAATGACAAATGGAAGGGGATACATGGAAATTTCAACAATGAAAGACGACATGTCAAAAAACTGGGCAATTAGCAAGGAGGATTGAGAAAATTTCTTGTATAGGAACGCACCTATATCCATATTCTTAGAAACAACCTTATAGGTGTCACATTTCAATTAGAATTTAAAATTTATTTAAAATTTAATTTGTTTTTAATAGGAATTATGTGGTAGTGGTGATAATGAATGAGAGAGAAAAATGTTACAAGTGTTATTTTATTTTTTATTTTTTTTAATTAACAAAAAAGTGTGATTGGTTATTTGTAAAAGCTTACGTGTTATGTTAGTTCCTATCTAAGAATTTTTCGCTGAATGATTCAGCAATGAAAGATACATACCTTAGATCCTGCAATATAACCTCCGCATGATCCAAATGATTTGGTGAATGTTCCCATCATAATATCAATATCAGCAGTATCCACACCCAAGAGCTCACAAACTCCCCTTCCCGACTTGCCCACAGCTCCAATACTGTGTGCTTCATCCAAATATGTATAAGCCTATATAGATATGGATGAATTCAGAAAGAAATAAACCAACGTAAATTTGCAAAAGGAAACCTAATAGTAACAAGTTAATAAATAAAAAATCCAATTTAATGCCTACTCAGAAGGGAAAGGAGCAATTAAAAAAAGAGTAGCACCATTAAGAGTTGTTATCTCAGACTACCCACAACTATTCAATGAAAAGTCCCTTTTAGAGGTAAAATATTTTAGTATTTCTTTTGCATGATCAGCCCATTTGAGTCATCAACTTAAATAAATAATTAAATGAAAATACACTAATTTCCTGGACTCAAACTATTACGGGCTTACAAGTTACAAACATTTGGAAAATTTTCAGGAAACCTAACTTGTATAGACTTTTTGCAAGCTATGAATTTGAACTCAATTTAAACAATACCCCTTCCTCGACAGCCAAAAATTGCAACATCGCCCTCAAAATTCTCAGGCATGCAATGGTTTAGAGCTACCATAATAACCAACCTTAAATTTTTTGCATATAGCTATGATCTCTGGAAGTTTGCAAAGCTCTCCTTCCATGCTGTATATCCCCTCCACAACAACCATTATCTTCTTCCAAGGCCTGTGTGTTCTTGGCTGTCCATCAGCAATTTGTTCTCGTAAAACTTCTTCTAGATGTGCTGGCACTGCAAGTAGATAGCCAAGGAGAAAATGAATAAAAATGTTGTGAGCTCTGGAGCATCATATCACCACCGACAGACAAACTAAAAAAATGCAATCTAGTAGGTAGCAAAGTATATCCCAGACACCAAGCGTTCAAAATACATTACATATATATACATAAATAATCAAATGTCAGTTCAGTTACACTTTCCTTCATCTTGATTCTATTTCTCTGCAGATACAAAGTCATCATGTGAAATTTGACTATCCTATACATATTTAGTAAATAAAGAATGTGGTGCAAAATAGCTGTCATCATCAACTACAACCCATGTATTGGAATGCAACCCTCTCTTTTCAGGGTTAAATATGTTTTACATCCATGCATGAAGCTAATCGTATACACTGACTTACTATGCTAATCACATATGCTAAGTCCGATCTACACAGACACAAACTTTTGTTGAGTCCCAAAAAAATTTCCTTTAAATTTTCGTCCCCAACATGTTTTTTGATACCAATTTTATTCATTGCTTTTTAACGATACTGACACATGTCTAACGGAAATCCACATGGCAAGTTTCATGTGAACTTTTTTGATGACATTGCTGAGACCTTAAAATTCCATGAACTTAATAATATTTAACCCTTCTTTTTATAAAAGTGTGTGAAAATAAAAAAGCTGGCTCTCAACAACTAACTCATAAAATTTACTTTAGTGAACAGTAAGTTTGCTCTCACCGTTGTGTTGAAAAACACGAATAGTTGCTCCTGATCCCCGTGCACCATTAACAATTGAGTTGTGGTTCAGTGAATCACTAATAATCAAACTTCCCTGTAAAAGTACTAAACCAATGAATAATCACACAACTATTAGCATCTAACAAAGAAAAAAATTACCAAAATTTACAAACCTTCCCCATCAAGACTGGAAGAATAGCAGAGTTAGTCACATAGCCCATTCCAAAAACCAAAGCAGCTGGCTTTTTAACAAAACTAGCTACACATTCCTCCAATTCATTGTGAAGTGCAGTTGTGCCTATTAGAGAATCCACATTTCAAGAAACTTGATAAGACGCGTGCATTGACAAACAAACAAGCTTGTTTCAATGGCTAAAACACAAACCAACAATACCTACCCCCGTCCACCCGCGTACTGCAAGTGCTTGGAGAATACTTCTTCAATGTATCAATTACTCGAGGAGTGCAGTATTCATCAGCCGCAGCAAAACCAAGATAGTTATATGATCCCAAGTTAAGACATCTACTTACTTTACTGGTTCGTCTGCATCAAGACAAACAGAATGACAAATATGCTTCACTTAAATCTCTGATGCTAAATCCATAAAAAGAAGCAAAATTACAGCAGAAACTTAATATTACTGAAAACAGATAGTTCCCCTACTCCCCTTTCAAGCAAAAAAAAATAATTGTAGAAGCATAATTATAGGCCTAAACTATTGAAAAGATTGTTATACTTTAATGTCTTGTTATTATCATTGGAGTGGCGTTCGACTACATCAAACCAAGCATCAGGAGCACTTGATATAGGTCTCCCAAAACAGTCCTGCAAAAAATTCAAAACAAAATATAATACAATGTAGAAAATAACCACATTAAACATTACATATACTTGCCCTGGTGTTAACACTGCATGGTTCCTCAGAAAGAGGGGTCTGACTCTAATGTTCAACCAAAAAAACAAGTAAGAATTCTTCTAGTTAAGGATGGAACTCACATACCACGCGAATGATTAAATCTTAACCGAAACTATCAACCACTTGAGCCAAAACCTCTTGGTGAAACAAATGCATACATATCATCATTGTAAGAAAGTTAAATCATAAGCACAAAGTTGTGTTTTCTAGGACACTTGTACTTTTTGGATTGACTTATTTGCGTTTTTGCATAAGCACTTGTGGAAACAGTTTATGACATATTTAATAAGTTATTTTCACCGTATTTTCATAAGCTCTCCCGAATGACTAATAGTAGTTTATATGAAACCACTTCAACTTTAGTTTTTGATAAGCGCTTATGCAACAAAAGCATAATCAAGCTTTTTATCCATACAGAGCCTAGTTTCATTATATAGCAATTAGTTTGCAACACACAAACTACAACACATAATTGTTACCTGAATGCGGAGGTATAACCGGCGAATATAAAAATCTTCAAGTCCTAAACAGATCGGTGCATAACCCTGAAAAACGCGATTATTTGAGTTGCACCTAAATAAATTGAAAGAAATTGGAAAGAAAGAAAGAAGGAAAGGAAGGTACCTGAAGATTGTTGGAGCTGCACCAGTCGAAGATTTTTCTGAAGAAATCTCTGAATTGACCGAAAGCGAAGAGCAAACCATAACTGAAATAGGTTGTGAGTGCAGTGAGATACGGAATCGCTATCATTTTCGGCGGCGAGAGAGGGATGTAGGGAACGGAACGGTGAGGGATCGGAGATCCGAACCCGAATCTCGTTCGCGGACACTTTCTCTCTCTTGGTGGAAGGGATGAAGATGAAGGAAAATTGTAGAGAGAGAAACGGTGTTTCCAAAAATAAAATAGAAAGAATGATGGGACGTGTAGTGTTTTTGTGTGTATGGTTGTAAAAGAAAATTCAAATGGGACCATACAATAGAAAATTCAAATCCAACTTGGTTGCTCAAAGAGGAGAAATGGAAATGTCATCACTTCTATTATTATTATATAATATTTAAATGTAAAAATATATATCAAAAATCGATGATTAAGGACGGATTATGGGTTGGTCATAAGATGTTAGAGATATGGTGCATTCACCACAATCTTGAATCTCATACTCGAGCATTGGCAGAGTCACGTTGGAACAAGAGTGATCATGATCTCCCAAATAGTATTAAAGTTTTTCTATACATAGTATTCCATCATATTACATTTCACTTCATCTATTTATTATCAATCCAAACCGTAAAATATAGTTAATTATCACTATGTTTTATTCCATTATATCACATATCATCAATTCATGTATAATTTTAAGGCTTTTCTTAACCTTCATGAGCTCACAAGTAGGATGCTCATGGATGGGTTAATCTCCATAACCAATCCATAACCATAAATAATTTATATATTACAATCGGTTATTAAAATCAATTTTTATAACTGGTTTTCATCTTTTAAAATGGTTATAAACCGGTTATTAACCGGTTATATCCATAATCAATTTTATAATTAGTTTTTATTTAATTTTATTTTAAAATTGATTTTTTCAAAAACATAATATTTTTTTAAAAAAAAATATTGATGTTAAAAAAAACAATAGTTATTTTAAAATCTTTTAAAAAAATCATTATCGATAGTTTATTTTTTATTTAACGAATGGCCTATTATAAAAATTAAAAAAAAAAAGATTTAATATTTGTACTTAACACAAAAAACACAAAAAAAAAAAACTAATAGGCTTATGAATTCATTCTTACTAAGAAAAAAATGAGTAAATAAATAAGCGCACAAACAAGAAAAAATAGAATAAAAAACCAAACAAAAAAATAATTAATAAAAGAGTGAACATGGTAGAATGGGTCAATTTTTTTTATTTAATTTCTAATTAAATTATATAATATTAATTACAACATAACTAATAGTTTAATGTGAATATTTATAATAATTATTTTCAATGAAAACATATCATTAATAACTAACTTCTTAATTTTGAAATTTTTTTTATAAATAAAATATATAGATATGTAAAAACAAAAATTAAATGATCACATTAATAATTATTCATTTTTTAGAGAAAATAATCGAATTCATAATTTCATTATCACTCTAATTCTTATAAGGTTTTCAAAATCAAATATATATGTTAGTAAAAATGTAGACAATAATTAAACTATTAATATTTTAAATAAAAGTTTATTTTTAAAATAAAAATAGTCTCGTGATTCACTATATGCTTATTCAAAATATAGGGATGTTCATGTGTTATAATTATAGTACAGTAAGTCATTTTTATATTAATTTATTTAAAACTAAATTTAAATTTAAGCTACAAACTATCAATACTTACATTTCCTTACTTACTAAAGTTCAAAGTGCCTTAAAATTGGTTATTAGCAAAAATAAACTAATGTATATGGTTTTTTATTTCTATATATATTATTTAAAAATTATTTTTTTTCAAAGTTTTTTTTTTATTTTTTTTAAAACTTGACTAATTTGATTTTTATTTTGGATATGGATGTCCAAATTATGGATTTGGTTAAAACCATATTAAAAATATATCCAAAATGTGGATTTGGTTAAAACCATACTAATAATTAACCGATTTTTAATAACCGGATTTGGATACGGATATGGATTATTTAAATAACCGGTTTATTTGAGCACTCCTACTCACAAGACCAAACTCATCCGAATAAAATATCCATTAAAAAAATAATAATATATTTTAATATATCTCTAGATGTTGTCTCATGATTACTTGGGGATATATTTTTACTTTATCAATATGACTAGTAGAAGACCCGTGCGGACGTATGAGAAAAGATATAATCTTATCGAATTTAAATTTCACAAGAAAAAGTATATTCAAATGTATATTAAGAGTAATATTTATGCAAGTTTTTATTTATTTGAATCTAACTGATAGTATCTCGTGTAACTTTATGAAGTATTTCAATCACATTTTAAACATTATAGTGAAAAGGTTGAAATATATAATCAAAATTTTAGACTTTTAATTTTTTAAAGTAATATTTATACATGATTCATTTTTTAGAGCAATAGAGTAACATACAATTTTATCGTAAGTCTGTATGGAATAAAAAGGTCAAATACATGAGATTTCGAGTAATTTGACAATATTAGCAAACTCCATATGATGAATCTCTTATTTTTTAGCCACAGACATAAAACCGTTACATTACATTAGCTAAATATTGCTTAGAAAATCCTTATCAGTGATCTTCGTCGATCAAAATAGACTCACCCTCGCAAAGAATTTAGCCCAATATAAAATTGCATCAAATGTTCATAATGGATTAATATAGCCATGGCATGTTGTAAAATTAAAAACATTTTATGTAATGTATGCAGTAATTTATTTTGTAATAAAATAAAAAGAAGTATAAATTTATGTAAACATTATTATAAAATGGATTGGTTTTAGTTAAGGTCAAACTAAATTAGTTATTAGTCATTGAAGTTTGTATAGTAAACACATGGTTAAGATCTAATTATAGTAGAACTTTGAATTTTTTTTATATGAAAAGTATATTTTAGTATTGTCCATATGTGTTGTCAATCTATTAAATATTATACCCATTTTATGCACAGAACAACATAAAAGACAGTACATAATATCTGAAAAAATAAAATAATGGTGGGTTTCAATGCATTATATTCTTTGTAAGTCTCTGTGCATATTACTATCAAATCCATATTGCCTAGTTCATAGCGCAGCTGGAATAATGTGTATAGGAATTTTAATATAGTCAGCTAAACTAAAACTCTGTTATAGGCAGTTGTAATAAGATGTTTAACTTCTATAATAACTCATCAATTTGAAAACAACTATTCAAATCCATTTAGATAAAGTTTATGCTTCAATACAATAATTTGAAGAAAAGATATAAAACAATTCAAATAAAGACACATTCAAACTTCATTACAGTTCTAACAAAATATAGAAAGTAAATTAAAAACTATAACATATCCTTATCCCTGCATAACAACTTATTCCTAGAGCCTCAAATCAAGAATATGCTATTCTGAACCATTAGGCAATGCAACCGTTTTTTCATCATAAGAGTTAAGCTCATCCCAAACTTCAATAGTATACTTACATTCTTTAATACTTACATTTTGCTCAACCTCAGGAATAAATGATACATTTTCAATAGTAGACATCTTAATCTTCTTCTAATTGAATAGAAAAATAATTGAATCAAACAGCTCGAATAATATATACATCCATGGATAACTGCTACAGAAATTCAAACTATAAATAACTACAAAAGGCAGATCCCTAGGTAATATATATAGTTATATACACTTGAATATTAAAACAAGTTAAACATCCTTATACTTACCTGGTTGACGGGCCTTGTACTACCATCTTATGCCCTACAACACAAGTTGTAAACAGAAACAAAAGGATAAGAAAAATAGAGATTGGAAAATGAAGAATAAATAAAGTACTCAGTGAACCCAAAATATACCTTTTATGTCGAAACCACGCACCTCCGTAAGACTGCAAAATCGCCGTAAGAGTAAGATTAGTGCAATTTCTTCTTCTAAAGCTTCAACAACACACCCATTCCAATGTAAGGGAAAAATAGAAGATTGAATTTGAATAAAGTGTTTGAAACCACAAGACACTAAAAGAACAAACTTTTACTCAATTGTAGAATAATTATAACATAACAAAACAATGGCTAATAGAGATGGCAGGGAGATAGATACCAGAAAATAAAACTTACTATAGAAGATTGTAAAGCTTGTATTTCTGAAAACCTTGCCAATAACAACTTGTTTTCAAGATCAGGTATCATCTGTAAGGACAATGAGAAAAATGTCAGATAATGTCCAACAACTGATACCATACTGAGTAAATAAAACATTACAAAAGATACATCAGAGGAACAAAATAACCACGTGGAAAACTAACACCTACCACTAAACATTGCAACTTTTGACACATGATGATGACAACCACAATTCTGTCTTGGCAAGTTAATTTCGAGAGCATCAGTATAGTGTGAGGTTGAGTCAGCTTAAGAATTTGATTGACTATGATTAGAATCCTTTTTAGGTAAAGGATCTCTGTCATCATTCCTAGAGTCTCGAACATTGTTGTTGTTGTTGTTGTTAAAAGAAACAATCTTCTCTTCTTGAAATGCAGCAGGTGTCATAATAGGTTTCACATCTCCGAAACTTACTTCATTAGACTTGTGATGATGGTTAACATGTGGAGGATGGTGATTATGTGTAATGGTTGGTATGTTATATTCCATCCTCTACTTCTTGCTTTTGTCCTCTAGATGATGGTTAGGAAGGAAACTTCCCACGACAACCTGATGCACGGACAAGATAGAGAGTGTTGGAAACAGGTTATAACATTTTCCGTTTATCGAACCTACTATTGAGGATTACCTGCATGGGACCAGAAGCTATAAGCAAATCGGCGAGCCCGCCACCTAATACTCAACCATTCGGACCTGCCAAAGAGACGCTCAATACATAGAATAAAAGAGGGCAAGGGATGTATGTAAATGAAGGATATTATGGTACATATTTTCCAATCTGATAGAGAAACAAATGAATGCATTATTTCATTTTTTAAACAGATAGACACGGTATTGAACTCACATCATATGTTAAAGTACTCCCTGAAGAAGTCGATTGGCGTAGTGTAACATTTGGCTGCA